AAAGCAGAGTCGAACTGCCGTTTATATAAAATATAGAAATTTAATATTTGGTATACCTTCTGCTGTAAAAAATGATATTTTTACGTATTTTAGGTTGCATGAACTTTACAGAATCTTAACAATGTTTCTATTTTTTGCAATAAAAAGTTTGATAGAATAGAAGTTGCCGTTTAGACGAACAATTTTCCACAAATATTTAGATAAAAAATATAGGGTAAGGTGATGCACAAAGGTACAATTTGATTTCGTCGAACCTCCAAGAAAGTCTAACAACATAATACAATGCATTCGCTGTCAACTCTTTCAGCACACCAAAAAATACTGCAATAGAATGATAACCAAACCAATTATATTACAACAAACAACTATCTGACTATTTTCATTAAAACTCCTAGCTAATTCATGATTGTAAAAATGGTGAAAGTTGGTTATACATCGTTTGCCCTCTACTTTCAAATATTGTTGTTAAAAAATTTCTACATTTATTGTTTTTGAATTATTGGTAGTGACCTTTTACTATTACGTAATCCAAATTCTTCGAAAAACGTGTTTCCATCAAAATATTCCCATTCTGTTTACATTTCTTCCCCGACTATCATAACCTCTCCTCTCGCAATTCAAATTGGAGCGTCTTCTCAAACAGAATAAAGTAAAAGCTATGAAATTATACCCATTCCTAGGAAAATAGAAAAATTTGCATTACATAATTAATTCTTTGAACATTTCATGTTTATGTAGCTCTGATGTTGTGTCAGTCTACTTTCCGTGGAAACATTTCACGGGAAAACATTTAATAATTAAAATGAAATATTTTACGCAGACGTCAGAAATATCAGACGGTGGAGTAATTCGCAATAATAACTCTTTGCGGAGCGAGTTAAGAAATGTTCAAGACTATGAAATAGCAAAACAACATGATGGTTTATGAGATCAAATATTTGGAATTGAATTATGTGGAGAATTTGGGAAAGTGGCGTTTTTGTTGGTGAGAGGAGAAGAAAATTTACACGAGGAATATAAAGTCGTTATCAATTTTATAAAAAAAATTGAATGAATAATATATGGCTTATGGTGAATGCTGAGCATCGTACCTTATGGTAAATTGCTGGAACATGCAGTACAAAAAATTTACTTTTTTGAAAAAACTTAATTTTTTTTTTTGAAAACTTTGAAGAAATTAGATTTTTAAGATTTTTTGAAGAAAAAATGACTTTAAAAAAATTGAATTGTATTTTGAAAACGTTGAACTTTATTTCTAAGCAATCGTGCTGCGTAACTGTTTTAGACACGAAATTTCAAAGCGCATAAGCGCCGCGTTACAGACTTACAAATAAACATTGATACGGAACCCATAGAAATAAAAACAATATTCTTACTCATTATTAAACTTACTCTCTATAAAGTATCTGATAATTTGATGTGCATATATCTGATGATCATTTTTGGCTACCAAATGATTTTTAAAAAACAATTTGTATTGGATCTCCAAAACCGCTGAGCCTGCCCAAAAATTCAACTAGTTCTTTGTTTCGTCAAAAGAAATAGAATATTTTCTGAATAATTCAAATCGGATGCTCCGTTGTCTCAAAAACTGAATTACCATCTTTGGCACTCTTTGCCTTGTATCTACGAAACGGCTGCACCTGCCTTTGCCAAAAACTAATGAACACGTCTCCCCATCAATACAAATTGAATGTTCTTTGAATCATTCAAATCGGTTGATTCGTGTTCCCGAAATCGTCGACAAAAATTTGTATCCGCACGCACACAAAAACCATTTAATTTTAATTTTATAACCAATACAGTAATAAATATTTAAGGCGACCCAATGGTAGTCTTCTATTTGTGATAATTTATTTTAGTAGAATTCAACTAAGTGTTTATTCACTTTCATCTATAGTTACATGAGAAAATGGAAATCTCTACAGCTTGATACCAAGGTGGGATTCCATCTTGGATTTTTGTGGTTTGAACATCAAGAATCTTACCACAAACAAAATTTGAAATAGATTTTTTAAGACATAATTAATTATGGTAACATTTTTAAAGATACAGTAATGAAAATATATATAATCAGCTGTATATATCATCCCTTTATAATCCCTTTAAAATTTTTAAATTTGAAACACCATTAAATTCTGAGAAAAAAAAGCCAGATTTGGGGATACGATGTAGATAGAGATTGAATTATAAAACCAAATAAAATATTTTTAAAACTAAAAATTCAAACCTTAAATAGGAAATAATTTCTCCAGAATTCTATGATTTGAATATCCTTCTGGTACATGTATCTATCAGATCTCGTTTCCAATTTTTCGATGGTTTATTAAATAATTATAGCTTTTTTGTGCGATAATGCATAAATGTGAATTCTTAGATGGTGTCAAGCCAAGCATTATAAATATTTATGACCTATGATATAGTTTTTAAACTGAAATAACATTTTCATACAAAGTAGCACAGAGAACATTGTAGGCCGTTGTGACTTCAAGATATTTTTTTTTAAATTTTATTTATTTATTTATGGCTTTTAATTTTTCGATTATTTCGCCAGTTGCATGGTTATCTACATTTATTTACATTTCAAAAATTTATAACTCAATCTTAATATTAGTTATATACTTATACAACATTTTGACTTCAAGATACATATGGTAATTCAGTAACACCAAAAATTGGTCTATTGATTTGCATACATAGACATATAATTTCATATTTTTTTACCCCGAATTTTTTTATGTGAAACCAAAATTCGACCCATAGAGAGTTAAATTCTCACCACTTAAAAAATTTGTAGTACTCTAATGTACGTTTAATTTTAGAACCACCACAGCAATAAATCTTAAAATTTGTCAACCTTTCTAATAGTTCTATCCTGTATCCTGTCCCAAATGCCAATGTGTGTACATACATACACACGTACAGTTTCCCGTTTATGACGCTTTTAAAATGAACAGTGTTTTAATTGCCGAAGGGGCAGCAGCCAGGAGCACTTGATAATATCTCTTGCCCTTTCAAAATACGCCGTTGCCATAAAACAACCCTTTTCCGCTCTCGTAAAACAATATGAAATATAATTTAATGCACGGATATATATTTATAGACTGCCAGAAAAAATGTGAATGAAAATGTATTAGGATACTTCAATCAATAAGAAAAAAGATACGTTGCGTTAAATCAATTGGCCACATAATCGAAAAATCGGGATTAGAATGATGTTCGAATTCATGATATTTTCAATCGAATATATTTTTTTAGCTAATTGTTAAAGATATTTTCACAAAGTTGGGCAACGTTTCAAAACTAATATTATTTCCTCGCCCACAAACTCTGTTAGAAATACGATCGTGTTACTCGCCGCATTTCCGAAAAGATCTTAAAATCGTTTTATGATTTTCTTTCTTCGTCATTGATAATAAAATTGTTTTATGCGTTTTGTTATAAAATGAGGTCTTTAGGTGTTTGCGGGGATATTAAAATGAGTGGAAATGCTTTTGTGATGTTTTTGTAAAAGAAGAACATTTCAAAAGTGTCTCCGTATAATATTCAATTGAGCTACGTCGTTAAGTCTGTGAGTTTGTTTTACGATATAACATAAAAAGCTTGAACATTATATTTTGTAAGATTTAACGTAATGGATTTCTTATCGTACTTCAACCAGCACGAAGAAGACGCTCAAATTCATTAGACGCTTGAAGGAAATTTATAGAGCTCCCGCAAAGGACATTAAAATTATATGTTTTATTCACTTTATTGTCATTTAACGAAGTTAATCGTGACACTATTAATATATGGGCGCATTGCGACCTTTAGAAGCTGTTTATTCAAATTTGCTGAACTTTAATTGTATCGTAAATATATTGTGCCAGAAACTTTCGCATTTGGTCTTAGTTAAATTGATGTTTTTGTTGAAAAACATTATTTTTGCCCCTTTCGACCCTGTGTCAAAATCAGTACAGTTTAGCTGTTACAACGACTGTCACTACCGTACCTGGTCATCCCTAGTGTAATTCCTATTATAAAAAGTCTTAAGGGGCATAACTATAGTGTAACCGCCTAAAAAGGTGATTTTTGGGAATTTATATTAAAAAAACTACCTTATCAATCATTTCAAAATTTTAGGAATATATTTATACATGTTTTACGAATACAGAGTAAAATTTTCGCAGAAAAAAATTAAATATTTTTAAGTTGATCGTCGATCTTCAACGGCGCAACAAAAAATGGCCCTTTACTCCTGCAGTGATTCCGGCATTCTACGTGGATGAAATTTAAAAAAAAAAATTCTCGTTAAAGTAGATAATATTGTCTGTAAAATAAACTACGATAAAGCAAAAAATTAAAAATTGACAAAATGATGGCGTTTTTTAAAAAAAAAGTCGAATTTTATCCAACATTTTGGTCGTTTTCGGACTGCCAAAATTTGATTTTTGATCCGAGCAAAAAATCGATAGTTCATTTTACGGAGAACTATATATAGAACATGTAAAAAAAATTGATAGTGATCGGATCATTTGTTCTTGAGTAATCGCTGCAGCAAATTCGGAAAATGCTGTTTCGAAAAAAAAACGCGTTTAAAGATTAAATGATCGTTATACTATATACTATATATACTTTTTAAATGGCTGTAACTCAAAAAGTATTTAAGATATCGATTTTTGTATGTCATTTTTAAAGGTATAACCTATCGAAATATGGAAAAATTGAAAATTCGATTTTTTGAAAATTTTACACTAGTTGTGCTCCTTAAGTACATGAAAATTTGACCTAGTAAAAGTCCAAATTCAATTTCAGGAAAAAAACTGAACCTCAAAAATCAAACTCATACCATTAATTATATGGAAAATTTGTAAAAGCAGACATTCAAAAATACAGAATTAAAAATGTACATCCTATCTGCCATAGATATCAATCAATCATTGCAACATTTACACTCTACATCTCATTCTGCCTTAGCTAAACAATATAATTTTGCTTTAAATTATAATTTTACCACTGACCTGTTCATCCTCCTGATCGAATATAGCGTCGAAGGCGAACATCCTGGGAGCTGCGACTCCAGGCCTCCGATCATCGGCCGTGGGCGCACTTCCTGGAGGCGAAGTGTCGGCCGAAGCCGAAGTCGCATTGGTGTTCGGAGACGGGTCCTGCAAGGATACCTGACGACGCTTCTTGTCCACGGAGAAGCACGAGGTATCACGAGCTGATCCGGTTACTCGAAGCATCACTTTCACCTGAAAAAAAAAAAATAGAAAGAAAATTAGTATAGTGTGAATGAAGAATATTACGCAATTGTAGAATTTTAAACTAGATACACTAATATTTTTGCATTTTAATATCAATTGACAGTATATGTTTAGAAAAGTATTAGGGGGAAGTCCCGTAACGCCGGACAGCACCTAATACCGGACACTCTACTTAACACGTATTATTTAAGCGAGTATAAATCTTTTTATATCAAAATACAAGTGAAAGGGGCGCGGGGGGCACACAGGTGCAGGATCACCCGCCAAGGCTCACCTGTGACGCACACGGCCACGACGGGAGCAACCCTTTGCTGTTTTAGGCGCAAAATCACGGCGTCACCTAAATATCAATGGAAGTAATTCTACTGTAATTATGCATTTATATTTGAGTGGCATTATATGATAAAAGTAGTACTCAATTGTTATCCGTAAAATGGTAAAAAATTATTAGATATTTTAAACAATTTTAGTAGGCACCGCCAAATGAACGAACATGCCTGTCCCTTAGCGCCGGACAGTAAACATATTGATATTTCTTGTGAGAGTTGACGTAATTTATTTTAATTATTTAATTTTGTTCTGTATGAGTGCTAACGATCACTACATCATTTTTCGTATTTTCTAGTCAAAGAATGAAAATCTTATGATGAATGCTCCAGCTGAGAGCATCGGTGTGGCCCAGCCAAAAGGGTGGATGAATAGTGATTTTTTTTGCAATATCTAAAAATAATCGTCGAACACACATGTGCAGACACTTCAGAGTATGGAGTTGGCTACCTATGTGTTCAATACTGGTTATTTTGAAATGTCCGGTTACCAAAGTTTGATTGATAGTATTAATTATTTTTTAGCAAAGGTTGCGTTCTTGTTAATTTAGTTTGATTTCTAAATTTGTTATCTAACATATGTCATAATTTAATAAACATTTCGTAATATTTTTTAATTTATTTATAAATAACCTTAGGTGTCCGTCACTCGGAGACTTCCCCCTATAATAATTATGGGTGCAATTTTTTTAAAGTGTCATTTTTAACAATGACCATTATGAATAAACATATAAGATGGGTATTACTTTTTATGAAGTTTTAGAAAAGTTTTTGAATTAAATGGAGAACATTATGAAGCACGAAAATGAATGGTCTCGTAATGTTCGGTTACTTATCAGGTTTGCATCTGACCACAAATATCCAACTTGCAATAAGATAAAATTCCACTTACTTATTTTATATCAGGTTGCAGTCAGAGCCTCAAAATAATTTACATTTTCTGATATTTTTATATACTCGCCAATACATAACAATACTTTTACAATACTCGCCAATACATTCTGCCACTTCCATGACGTGTATATTCGTCCATCACAGTTAACTAGTTAAATAATGAAAACATTCTATTCGATATTAATGGATTTGTTTCGCAATTTCTTTTCCGCCCAGTTCTTATCTAGAAGTGACGAAATCATCTAGACAACACAGAATGGGTGGAATCACATTTTTCAAACCGAGTTAATTTAAAGTTTTCTTAACATCTCACACTTTGGTTTTGAAAATCGACATTGATCCGAGATAACGTTCTCCTCTAAAAATAAGAATCGAGCAAGGCGACACTTGCCACTTAGCGTTTGGCAACTTTTATCGTCCTAGGATTTATATTCAAGGCTTCGCCCCTCGAAAAGTTTGCGGTGATTTCTGCTCTGAATCATTGTAACCTATGAGCCGAGTTTAGAAGGCATTATATATTTTTGAGAAATAATGTAAGGGGATTTTTCTTGACAATATATGCTTGGAAAAGTCTTTATAAACCACTTTTGCTTTTTATAAGAATTATGGGTGCGAAATTTTCAAAGTGCCATTTTTAACAATGGTCATTATGAATGAAAATGTTAGGTGGGTAGTACCTTGTATAAAATATCGGAAAAGTTTTTTATGTTAAATGTGGAATACAACAAAGCACAAAAATGAATCTTGTAGATTTTTGTGAATGATCAGATGATCAAAATAACTAAAAATCGTTATTGAAAATATTATTTAAGCCTACTTTGTATAATAAAAGCCAAAAATACAACAAAATCGCACAAACACTCAGGAACCTCGACAGTCAAAAATATTGTTTATTTACTCCACCACCATTTTCTCAAAAACAAGTAATGTCTGAACATTTTTTAAGGATGCTATTTTAAAGTAGAGGGCAAAATAAGTATAACCAGCCAACTCCTCAAATGGGACGATATCGCTGTCAGGAAATAAATATCGACATTGTCAATTTTTTACAAAAGTATTTTTTGAGTGGTTTGTTTTTTTTGGTTTTGAGTACTGTTGCTTAGTTCACGAGGCCTGACACCTTTCCTTATGCGATTTCATTTTATGACTGATTCAATATTTCCACTTATACAAATGTTCAAATTACCATTTAATTTACAGTGCTCTTAGCCAACAGGCAAATTTAACAAAATTAATACTGATCCCCACTTAGAACATTTATTTTATCCTTATGATTTTGTTCAGGGCCTCTCTTCCTTAGCACCAAATTGAACAATAATGTTGGCAAAATAAGGGCTAAGTTTGCAACACTAGGGACAGGCACTTCGACACCTAGATGAATCAATCATTCTGGGAAAACACTTCAAGTTTTCTTACTTTCCGCATTCTATCCTTACAATAGATGTGACTAACATTTGAAGAATGATCAAAGTGCGTAGGGTGGTTTGTTAATAGTTTTTGGCGCCGGTTTATTATTTCTATGGTAGAAGATATAAAATGAAATGAGAGCATAGTTATAATACCTACTGAAAAGTTCAATTTTTTCAAATTCATTATAACAGCAAATAATTATAAACAATTATTAGAATTGTACCATAGAGCCACCATAAATAGTAGAACAAAAGGTGAAAATTGCAACAAAGTACAAAATTTGATAGTCGTTTTATTTTTAAATTGGTTACAATATCCAAAAATTGATTGAACACTGTTCATAACATTAGTTAATTATCATATTTTATTAGTTATACAAAATGAATGCTATAGCATCCACGTCAAATATTACTCCCTTCACGAAATTTATATAGGTATTTCTGATAATACAAAAATACCTATAGAATCAGTTAGTTATTACCTTGACAGGTATAATAATTACAAAAACGTAAGGTTATATAAAATTAAATTCTAAATAATTGTTTTAAAATTTTGAATGCTATAGCATTCACGTCAGCAAAAAATTAAATCACAGAATTTTGCAACTAAATTATGAAAAGTTCCAAATATGCACCCCTGTTAAAAGTTCCAAATTAACACCCTCGTTATTATTTTCAACACCAGTCCTACAATTAATCATTTCCTCGGAGGTTGAAAGTAGCTTCCCCGTCCCTTAAAATGAATGCTATAGCATCCACGTCAGCAAAAAATCAAATAAAAAAAATTTGCAACAAATTTTTGAAAAGTTCCAAATAAGCACCCCTGTTAAGAGTTCCAAATTAACACCCCTGTTACTATTTTCAACACCAGTCCTACAATTTATCATTTCCTCGAAAGTTGAAGGTAGCTCCTCCATCCCTTAAAAACATTTCGATCCTGATATATGACTTTCCCTTGTGCGTGACGTTTAAAGTGTTTATAGTAATTTATTTTTATTGATTCCGGTGCATGTTGACATCAACATTGATGATTCAGTTATTTTGCAAAATTAACGGTAATTTGGAAACTTTATGTTGAAATACTTTATCGAATCAAATAGCTAAGTCCTAGCTAAAAGTTGCTACGAGTTGAAAGATAGGTAAAAGTTGTTCTATTTCTGTGTGTGTGTTCTAAGCAATCAGAATTTACTTTTGTATTTATGATGATGATTAGCCTTTTCTTACACCTAGATGCCAAATTAATGGTTTAGCCTTCGTTTTAGACATTTTTAGGGTGTACTTTGTAATAAACTACAATAATAAAGAGATATTGGATAAATATATCCATATCAAAGATTTACAAACTGTTATGAGCATATAATGAATCTCTAATTAACATACTAATAGTAAGTGTTACTAGCTGTAAGTGGAATTCTGTCTTAAGGCAATTAGGGCATTGTTCCTTAAGGCAAATTGCTGGAACTTCCCGTACCAAAAATTATTATTATTATTTAAAACGATTAACATTTTTGAAAAAAAATTACTTTGAAAAAATAAGATTTTTGAGAAACTATAAATTGGACAAAAAATTAGTTTTTTTTGAAAAAAAAAATTTTTTAAAAAAAATTTTTTTTTAAAAAAAAATTTTTTTTTTTTTGAAAAAAATTTTTTTTTTCTTTATTTTGACATATTGTGGAAGATCTGAACTTTTTTTTCAAAGCAATCGTACTGCTTTAACTACATAGGGACAAAATATAAAGCGCGTAAGCGCCGCGTCGCTGTCTAACGCATAAGCATTGGTACGGAACCGATAGGAATGTTAACAAAATGTATACTCATTGTTAAAATCTCTATAAAATGTCTGATAATTTGATGTGCATATGTCTAATGATCATTTTTGACCGCCAAATGGCTCATTTTTTTACTTTTTCCTCTATATCTCCGAAACCGCTGGACCTACCTTCATGAAAGTTGTATCGATTATTTATCTTGCCAGTACAAATAAAATGTTTTTTGAATTATTAAAATCGGACGCTCCGTTCTCTTAAAAACTGAGTTACCGTTTTCGGAACTTTTTGCCCCGTATCTTCGGAACGGCTTGACCTGCCTTTGCCAAAAACTAATCAGCACGTCTCCTTATCAATACGGATCGAATGTTTTTTGAATTATTCAAATCGGTTGATCCGTGTTCCCGAAATCGTCGACGAAAATTTGTATCCGCACATACATACACACACATACATACATACACACACACACACACACACACACATACACACACACACACATACATCCATTTTTTCTAAGGTATGCCAAAATGTTCAGAAACCTCTGAAACGTAAAGATATATAAAAATTTTCATTTTCGATTTTTTTGCGAT